AATGGCTGACAGCCATGTGACGACACACTTCATGCCAGAATACTACCAGAAGTATATTTATCCCGTAAATGGTACGCGCGTTCTGAAAATGGCGGTAACTTTAACTTCCGGTTAATGGTACGCACGTCCTAACATTTGGCGGGACCCCTTAACTTGTGGTAAATTGTACGCGCGTTTAAAAAGAGCGGGAAAGATTGACTTACGCATCTTGTCTTTATTGTTTTGTTTCAGAGGGAGGATGTGGGGATCCTGGTACACCAGAGAACGGCAATAAATTAGGAATATCTTACGCACCAGGATGGGAAGTGTTTTTCTCTTGTAACATTGGATACGTTCGTGTTGGTTCTGGAAAAAGAAGATGTCTTCATAACAACACGTGGAGTGGTACACAACCAACCTGTAAACGTGAGTAGAGGATTCTTCAAAAGGAGGAGATGGGTACAGAAAGAGAGAGGGAGCAACTAAAAAGACCTCTTTACGTAATGTTTCCTATTTCAGACCACGTGTCATTCGCTAAAGTATTATTTCTTTGTTTAAAGGTTGAGCATTAGAAAACACATGAATAAGGATATAACTCGAACAAGGAAACTTAATATCAAAAGAATGGAACGTTGTCTTAAATGGGAAAACATTACGCCCAAGCGAAAGAAGTTTTTAATTGGAGGGGTTACATAAATCTAAGCACATGTACAAGGCTAGAAGCTAAATATTTCATAGTTCTAACCTTATCTCCTTTTGTTATTTGCTTTATTTCTTGCTCTTCAGTCATCGATTGTGGACCGCCTCAAGTACTAAAAAACGGAACTATAATCGGTGGTGAGACGACTTCCAAAAATCTATCTCTTTTAAATGTGATGAAGGATTCAAGTTGGACGGAAATCCTAGTGCTATCTGTCAGTCAGACGGAAAATGGAGCATAGAACCGAAGTGTATCCGTAAGTGTTTGAAACGAGGAAGAAAGTCAGTCAGTCAGTCAGTCAGTCAGTCAGTCGGTAAGTCAGTCAGTCAGTCAGTCAGTCAGACAGTCAATCAGTCAGTCAGTCAGTCAGTCAGTCAGTCAGTCAGTCAGTCAGTCAGTCAGTCAGTCAGTTATGAAAGACGATGCATTAGCCGCGAACGCGTTTGTTGGATTTGTTGAACATTTATAATTGGAGGTGGTGTCGGCGCAAACAAAGCTAGGCTGAGAGATAACAAAGGAAGCAGGCTCTCCAGGTACTCGTTGAGAAACCTTATGCTGTTTTTCTGAATATCGTGCGATTTGTCTTTAAGTTCTCACAAAGTGCAGCGATCCTGGAACACCGATGAATGGCATCAAGAAAGGACTTTCGCGTACAACTGGGAGCCTAGTGTTCTTTGCTTGTAATTTTGGATACAAAATCCTTGGTTCCTTGTCGAGACAATGTCTGGCGAACAAAAAATGGAGTGGTGTGCAACCAACATGTCTAAGTGAGTAATAACAGTGAGAATAACTTGGAATGATTAAAGATATTTAACATTTTGAGCCCGCGACATGCGTGCACATGACTTAATCATCCCATACCTGTTCACGAATAAGCCCAGTCCCTTACATCATGGTGTGAAGTGCCTGGTGAGGCGCATGCTCAAACGAAAGACTGTGGAGTCCGTGCAGAGGCTCCTGTCGTAACCATTGATATCAACGAAAACAAAAGCCAGTAAAGCGAAAAGACTCGGCGAAAATACAAAGCTAAACAAAAAGAGACGTCTTCAGACAGTAGAACAAAGGCACTTTTATAGTTTTGCTGGTGAAAAAACTTGTATATTTGTATAATTTGTATACCATCGACTGTCTGTCGTTTTCTCACTGGACTCTGAGGATGACTTCCGCTGAGGTTGTCAAAACGTCAGTCACCACCAACAACAGTCTTTCTCTAGACTACACTCACCCGGACGATCACATTTCACAACGAAAAAAACTTGTGTTTTAAAAACGTGTTTAACTGAGTATTTGACAAATTTTTTTTTTCCAAGGTTTGTTCAAAAGTTGTGTTAACCCACTTCTACCTGAAAACGCTTATATCGCAAACAAAAAATCGAAGTATCTCCATGGTGATGCCGTAACCTTTAAGTGCAACAAAGGGTTTCTCCCGGTAGGCATTAACAGGTCACAGTGCTTCATGGGCAGATGGAGTACAATACCTTTTAGTTGCATAAACACAAGTAAGTATAGATGTTCCTCGATAGATAATTTCATACTTCTACAGAGAAGTTTGTAATGTTTAAAAACATTTTTTTGAGGAGAAGAGGGGTGTGGGAACCGGAAAATTTTTTATTCTATGGAGATTTGAAGGTTCGCAAACTAGATGTAGCGTCCCTTGTTTTGTCAACTGCCTATAAGAACGTACCCTCATAATGAATTAAATTACTGATAACGATCCATTTTTCCGTAGAACTTTAAGCTAATGGCAGATGACAGTGTATACCATGGCGTAACTGATTTACCTGGCCAAAGCTCTTGTAAAGTTCAAGCTAGAAATAATGTTAACTACAAATACTATTTTTTGTTTTTAAGCATGAAAATCTGATATTCGAGTGTAAGTCTTAAGGGAATAAAACGATGATGTGTAAAATTAGCCCCGTGGGGGGGGGGGGGGG